GTTTCAGGCCCAGCACGGTTGCTCATACCTGTAATCCCAGCACTTTGTCAGGCTGAGGCGGGAGGATCGCTTGACTCTGGGAGTTCAAGACCAGCCTGGGCAACATAGTTAGGCCTTGTTTCTACAAATAATAAAAACAATTAGTGGGGCATGGTGGTGCTTGCCTGTATTCCCAGCTACTCAGGAGGTTGAGGTGGGAGGATCGCCTGAGCCTAGGAGGTTGAGGTTGCTGTGAGCCATGACTGTGCCACCGCCCACTCTAGCCTGGGTGACAGAGTGAAACCCTGTCTAAAAACAGAAAAAAAAAGATGTTTCTATCTGCTTTAACAATTGGGTAGAGATAATATTTTTAAATCCCTGTCCACTTATCTTACTTAACATGTGGTTAGTAGGAACTAATGAACCCTAAATAATGGACCCTAAATATGGTTGATACATTTGTATGACAACATACTGTAGGTGTGACTGAACAACACACAATAACCTAAATTGATAAACGATAACGTATAATTAAAAAGCATGTAGAACAGAATCAAAACCTAAGCCCACTCAATATAACACTAGTGATATGTTAATAAAGTGTCCTGCCAGAATAGGGAGTTTACGTGATTTACGAGGTTATAGAGAACAGATTCCTAAGTCATTTTGTCCACTGCCTTCAGATTTAGGTATGACTCCAGCTTTCCATTTTTAGAAAGGAGAAGCAACTAAAAAAAAAAAAAAAGGTCGTTTATCATCCCTTTCTACGTCAAAGGAAAATTATCCACTCCGTGAGTGGTGACAAAGACCAGTCCTTCATTACTTTCCACAGGGGCAAAATAAGGTTTAAAAAAAAATGGGGGGGGGGAATTACTAAACCCAGCAATATCAGATAGATAGGTGACAGCCACCTGCAGTGGCTCTGATCAGAGTGACCTCTGCCTCACTACTCCTGCCACCCTTCCTCTGTTGCCCACCTGCCTCAGGAGAGATTACATATAACTTAAATGGTTATTTCGATCCCTCCGGTTTCTGGATTCTGGTTATCATGATTTTATCTCCAGAGATAGGGAATGAATTAGGAAGGGGCAACCTGCTACTCATCAGACTCAGGGTAGAGCACACAAGTTTGGGACACAGACATTTCGTTATTATAATAATACCACAAATTCTTAACACACAGAGTTGTAAAGGTGACTTGTCGTTTCTGAGTCACTAAAAGTAGAATTAATTATCTGGCTATAATGTGCAAGTATGTAACCACTTAAAAATTATATAATAAGAAATACAATACAATGTTATTAAATTTAGGAGGCCAGGCGCATTGGCTCACACCTATAATCCCAGCACTTTCGGGAGGCAGGTGGATCACTTGAGGTCAGGAGTTTGAGACCAGCCTAGCCAACATGGTGAAACCCTGTTTCTACTAAAAATACAAAAATTGGCTGGGCACAGTGGCTCACGCCTGTAATCCCAGGACTTTGAGAGGCCAACATGGGTGGACCACAAGGTCAGGAGTTCGAGACAAGCCTGGCCAACCAACATAGTGAAACCCCATCTCTACTAAAAATTAGCTGCGTGTGGTGGCAGGTGCCTGTAAATCCCAGCTATCTGAGAGGCTGAGGCAGAACTGCTTGAGCCTGGGAGGCAGAGGTTGTAGCGATCCAAGGTCGCACCACTACACTCCAGGCTGGGTGATGAAGTGAGACTCCATCTCAAAAAAAACACACACCTCAGTGCCTCTTCAACAGGCGAAAAAAAAAAAAAAAAAAAAAAAAAATCAAAAAAAAAAAAAAAAAAAAAGAAAAACAAGGAGAAAAAAATAAATTTAGGAGGAAAAATATTTACTATTAGGGAGACATGTAATTTCTATTTTCTATAGGCACTGTTTCTGTCAGTTGAAAATGAGAAAACACTAATTACAGAATATAGACACACACAAAATTGAAGGAATATAAACAGTTGAACACCTATGTATTACATTAATTCTATTTAAGGAAAAGATAAATACATGAGTTTTAAGCAAAAAATAAGCCCATACCCTTGTCTCAATTATCTAATTTATGTAAAAGTGGGAGAACAATAAATAGTATGTGCATGTATTAACTTCTGATTGTTTCCTTTCATGAGCTTCAATTAATCTTTGAAGTTATAGATAATTGATAATTTGATTTCTGCCATTAAAACTACATCAAGTTTTGGTATTCATAGGACTATATTTGAATATATGCTTTATTCCATGCAAAAACATTCACATTTGATACACAAACGATTACCAGAAACAAAGTGACTTAAAATAACACATTTATTATCTCGTACTTCTGTAAGTCAGAAGTCCTGGCATGGGCTCAGCTGGGTTCTCTGCTCAGGTTCTCGCCAGGCTGAAATCAAGGTGTCAGCCAGACTGTGCTCCCTTCTGTAGTTCTGGGTATTCTTCCAAGCTCATGTAGTTGTCAGCTGAATTAAGAATTCTGTAGGAGGGTAAGTCTGCTTTCTTGCTGGTCATCAGCCTAGGGGCTAGTCTCCATTCTTAGAGGCCACTGCCATCTTCTGCCACAAAAGCCTCTCTACAACATGAAACTTTACTTCTTCAAGGCCAAAACAAAACCATCCGCTGTTGCTTTGAATCTCTTTGACTTGTCCTTGACCCTCTTTTTTAAGAGTTCACTTGATTATGTGGATAGTATGCCTTTATTTATTTATTTGGTTCTTTTTGAGACAGGGTCTTTCTAACTCTGTCACCCAGGCTCTGGAGTGCAGTGGTGCAAGATCATGGCTCACTGTGGCCTGGATCTCCCAGGCTCAAGTAACCCTTCCACCTCAGCCACCAGATTAGCTGGCACTACAGGTGTAAGCTACCATGTCTGGCTAATTTTTAAATTATTTGTAAAGATAGGGTCTCCTTATGTTGCCCAAGTTGGTCTTGAACTCCTGGGCTTAAGTGATCCTCCTGTCTCAGCCTCCGAAAATCTGCCTTTAATATTCAGTTGACTGACAAAGTGAGGTACTGGCAATTTGAGAGTAAACAAAGTAGAAATTAATTCTGATGGGTATGATAGTCAACTAACACAGAAATACTACAACTGAAGACTGTGGTAACTGCTGTGAAGAAAATGAACAGGGCAGCGTGACAGAGTAACTAGGGAAGAACTCTCATGACGGGAGGTGATATCAGGGCTGATATCATCTGGAAACTCAGAATGAATCAGTTAAGAGCTGAGCTGAGGGAAGAACAGGCCAGGAAACAGCTGAACTTTCATATCATGTCTGAAACAAATTATTCAGGAGTATAGATTGTCCTCCTGAAGGGAATTCTCTGGAAACCTGTTTTCACTATCATCTTTGGCCTTTAGTATTTTAGCAAAAACACAATATGGAATTAAATTTACTGAACACCTGGGTGTTCCACGATTTCCAGATGCATAAGACAATGTCTTCTGCCCTCAGAGTGCCTTTCTAGGCCATCCATCACATTTACCACAATTATTGGGATCAACGGCACAAGAACGTTGTTCTCCTTGACAAATGGTTCTATAGGATGTTTTAGCTATTTACCACAACCACTATTACCCAACTTCAAGCATGAAAACTTTTTACACAGGCTGTCTTTTTATTGGAAAATGTGAATTTCAAAGTGAGTATAATCTATGTTAGCAAAGAAGAAAGAAAAACGTTTCTTTTTACCTGTTTTGTAACATTTTAAATTTATATACTGGTTTTCAGTGTGAATCTCATTATGTCATAACTCAAATCTACCCTAGCTTGGGATACTATTCAAATACGTAACTATTTTATATTATAGAATCCATTATTTCATCACAGTAAGTTATTCATTGAAATAAGTCATAAGAACATACAATTTGGGTGTTCATTTTCTTCCTATATCCATCATTATCTTCCCTCTATCCAGTTCAGAAAGAATTCATTAAATCCTGACAACTCCCATCAGAAATGTTTCTCAATAACAACCTTATTTCATTATTCTCAGAATGTCTAAGTTTCTATTTTCTCTTTTTTTTTAAGTTTCACTCTTGTTGCCCAGGCTGCAGTGCAATGGTATGATATAGGCTCACTGCAACCCCCGCCTCTGGGGTTCAGGCGATTCTCCTGCCTCAGCCTCCTGAGTAGCTGGGATTACAGGCATGCGTCACTGCACTCGGCTAATTTTTGTATTTTTAATTGTGTGAGGTTTCACCATGTTGGTCAGGCTGGTATCGAATTCCTGACCTCAGGTGATCTGCCCACTTCATCCTCCCAAAGTGCTGGGATTACAGGCGTGAGCCACCATGCCTGGCCCTAAATTCATACTTTTAAGGCCTTGTCACTAGCCTTTTGATCAACTTTAACTGGCCTTCCTTCCAAGAGCTTGCTTCTCCTCTAGTCCACCTTCTACATAGTAGCCTGATTATCTTCCTGAATACTGAACAAAATTCCTGTCTTCATGGAGCTTACGGTATAATGGAACAAACCAAAAATTTTTCAAAACGTGATAATGAGCTACAAAAATAAATAAATAAATAAAAACAGGGTAAGAGAAAAGGGCAAAGGAGGGAGTAACTTTAGATAGGCTGGTGACATTTGATTACTGTATAACAAATGCTAATGCCCTTCAGCTAAAGAGCAGCAGGAAAACACCTAGAGTCAAACGAAGCTGGGTTTAATGACTTGTTGCAAGGGGTGGGGGTGCGGGGGCACTCTGTAAGTGGGTATCGGTATTGTGAAAAACATTACAGTTTGGGTTAGGTGATTTTGGGGAAGTGTCAAGGTTTTGCTCTGGATTGGATGCTGGCAGGAAACAGGTAATCCTGTAAATTGAATATTTTAATATTTGCTATCTAGAAGGCAGGAAGAATGGAGCAAGACTAAGGTTGTAATTGGTCAAGAAGCAGTGGTGACTTATATTAACCAGAATGTTTGGTCATTTTTGTGGTTTAGAGACTGTTCTTGTATTTGCTGTGTTTAGACATGATTATGAAGGGGTCTTATTTTTGTCTGTTACAGTCACAGAGTGACGGTGATAGTGACGTTTTGTGAGATTGTTTATATTTGATAAAACACTCAGAACTGAGAATGCCAAGACAGCTGCCAGTACCACAAATGCATAGCTAATAGTGCCAGTCCAGCTCCTGGCTGTCCAGGGTTGGTTCCTGCTGCAACCCAGCTCCCTCTGTCCCCCAACTAGCAAAGCCATCAGCTGCTACATTTGTCCCTATAATTGCAATTTATGACTCTTATTCATAATTTTGTATCTTTAACATTTACAATAACAGTATTACTATTTAGGGTACTGAGTTCCAAAACTCATTGCAGCTCTCCCGATTATAGTAGAGAACTAGTGGTATGATGATGGTGGGTGATAAGAACAGACATGCAAAGTATCTTAACTATAAAAAACAGGTATTATTTGTCTGCAGAGTCCCATAGGTAAACCAAAGACAATCTGCTTGTAGCTAAATGGTTTAGAAATTGGGAGTAAGAAAACAAATATTGTAAATCTTGGCAATGACTTCAGAAGTCCCAGAGTCGGTTGCTCCATCTCTACAAACAAGAAGCTGAAGTTGGATGGTATGTGTAATTCTGATATGCTTGCATGGTGCCAGGCTGGCTGTACAGGAATCATATAGGGAGCTTGTTATCATCAGGTAGAGATTCGAGGGCCTCATCTCCAGAAAGTATAAATCATCCTAAGTTTTTGAGACTCATCCATGTTTTTTTTCCTTTTGTTGCTAAGTTGTATCTGATTAGATTAATATATTGCTTTATTAATGATGGACATTTGGGCAGTTTGTCGTTTTTGGTAACCACAAATAAAGTTGTTAGGGATATTTTTGTGCAACTCTTTTTATCGATATATGCTTTTATTTCTCTGGACAAATACCTAGATGTGGGACTGCTGGCTCATAGGGCAGATGTGCATTTAACTTATATGAAATAGACTTTTTTTTTTATATCAAACTGGGACTCACTATGCTACTCAAGATGGAGTATAGTGGCTATTCACATGCATAATCATGGCAAACTGGGTTCAAGCGATCCTCATCCCTCAGCCTCCCCTGCTGTAGCTTGAATGATGGGTACCACTACAAGTGGTTCTGACAGGTTCACATTTTTGACATAAAGTAACAAAACGTTTTATAATACCCTTGCCTATGGTCAAAGCGTAGCCTAGTAGAGACGTCAAAGGATCTGTTATAAGGCCTCAAGCACTCTGGGGCCCAGGAAGATCCCCTAAGGCAAATCGATGAAAGTTACGTGGATTTTATCTGTGGGTAAATGCAGTTCAGGCAATGCATTTGATAGTATGTCTGTGAAACCTTCGTCCTTTTGACAAATATATCGCCTCCAGGGCTCTTGGAATTCCACATCACTGTCATCAGGCTCTGAAAAATGGATACCTGAACGTGACAGACTTAAGACTAAAGTCATTTCTGACAGAGGACAGAATTAACAAATATTTGATAGCATGTTTGAGTGGAGGCTGGGTGGGGCTGGCCACTGTAACTCTCAAGTTACCCTTAGCAGATTTTTTTTTTAAACACCTGACACTTCCACCCTTCGGCAGGTAACCAAACTCTATTTAAAGGAAAATAGAAACCAAAAGAAAGAACTCTTTCACCTTCCTGCCAGAAACATCCATCTTTCTGTATCCACCTTTTATCCACCTCTCCTCATTCTCTGTAATCACAATGAAGAAAAGCATCCTTCCTAAAGTACTCTTCATTCCACCTTCTCCCCTTATTTCTCTCATTAGAGTGGCTCATTCCCATCGGTATTTGCCTCCTCCAATTTTTCCCTGGTGAAAGTTAACCTCGATATCGTTAAACCTTCTAACGGATTGCCTGCCCAGCTATTTACTCTTTCTAACCGGGATCACCAAGGTTTACCATACAGCAGGCACTGCACCTTCATGTTTAAAATATATAATACATGACTAGACAGGATTCCGAGGGTGCAGATAATGAAGCTATCTACAGCTTGTAGCCTGGGTGTTGGATGGCTCACTGGATGAGGAAACTGCTTATCCTTCAGCTGTGTATGGGTAATTTGATATATGCTTTCACTCTGAAATAAAGTTGTGGCAAGGCAGTAGTACGCAACAAGTACGAAAACAAGTCGGGAAACAGTGGTGCGGCACAACCAATCAACCCCTCACAGGACTTGGGTGCGCATCACCCAGGAGCCGCGCAGCTGCCACTCCGCCCGCCGCGCGGTCAGCGCCCGCACCGGCCCTTCCGGCGGAACCCGCCTAGCGGGCTTCGAAGGGACCTCAGTTTCCGAGTAGTGATGGGGGTGGAAGGTGAGGGGAAGAGCCGAGGGGCTCCCGGCCAATGGCAGCTCTTGAACTTACACCTCCAGACGTCAGCGCGGCTGTGTAAACGGATGTCACACAGCAGGCTCGGAAGTGTCTCCTCCCGCCTCAGAAACGCGGCGCACGCCCAGCGGCCTCGGAAAAACCTTAGGCGGCGAGAGGGAGGGGCATGTGCCGCACGCCGCGAGCCGAGTCCCGCGCCCTCGCCGGCCGGCCTCCTCCCCGCAGTGTCTGTGTGGTAGCCGTCCTGGTTGAGCAGCCGGGCGCCGGCGTCCTCGCCACAAGCGCGCCGCCGCAACTGGCTCCGCCCCTTGCCGGAACGGGCCGCGCGCTCCTGCAGCTCTCAGCAGAGTCACGGGCGCGCGCGCCGCCGGCGGAGCCGCAGTTAAAATGGTCCGAGAGGGACCCGGCCTTGCCCCCGCCGCCGCGCTGACTGACTGAGCCGGCTGACCGGGCCCGACTGGTCGCCTAGCCGGCAGGCTCGCTCGCTCCCTCCCTCCCTCGCGTCCCTAAAGCTCGCGCCCATCGTTCTCCCGGCTTCCCTGGGCAAAGCATGTAGCCCCCTTCGGGCACTCCGGCGGCCCGCGGCTGACGCCCACCTCCCTACCATCGCGTGTGTGCCCGTGTGTGCGTGTGTGTGCGCAGCGCGGGCGACCCCGCCGCGGGCCGGAGGCCGAGCCAGCGAGCGGCCTGCCCCGCTGCCGGCACCTCGCCTCTCTGGGCCTCCCTCCCTCCCGTCCCGGTGCCCCTCCTCGGGGCCTTCTATATGGGCCACCTTCTCTCGAAGGAGCCGCGTAACCGCCCGAGCCAGAAGAGGCCTCGCTGTTGCAGTTGGTGCCGCCGCCGGCGCCCTCTCCTCAGGCTGCCCCGCCGGACCCCAGCCAAGGTGCCCCCTCAGCCGGCGGCGCCCCGGAGCCGGGACTGCTTCTTCCGCGGGCCCTGCATGCTCTGCTTCATCGTGCACAGTCCCGGCGCGCCCGCCCCCGCCGGCCCAGAGGAGGAGCCGCCGTTCTCGCCGCCGCCGCCGCCGCGGGACGGGGCCTACGCTGCCGCCTCCTCCTCCTCTCAGCACCTGGCGCGGCGCTACGCGGCCCTGGCCGCCGAGGACTGCGCCGCTGCCGCCCGCCGCTTCCTGTTATCTTCGGCCGCCGCCGCCGCCGCTGCCGCCTCGGCTTCGTCGCCCGCCTCCTGCTGCAAAGAGCTGGGGCTGGCTGCGGCCGCCGCCTGGGAGCAGCAGGGCCGAAGCCTTTTCCTGGCTAGCTTGGGGCCGGTGCGCTTCCTGGGGCCGCCCGCCGCTTTGCAGCTCTTCCGGGGGCCGCCGCCGCCGCCGCCGCCGGCCGAGCCCCTTACGCCTCCCGAAATGGTGTGCAAACGGAAGGGGGCCGGGGTCCCCGCCTGCACCCCCTGCAAGCAGCCCCGCTGTGGCGGCGGGGGTTGCGGCGGCGGCGGCGGCGGCGGCGGTGGGGGAGGGCCTGCCGGGGGAGGCGCCTCGCCGCCGAGACCCCCCGACGCCGGCTGCTGCCAGGGTCAGGAGCAGCCCCACCAGCCGCTCTGCCCCCCGCCCTCTTCTCCCACTTCCGAAGGTGCCCCCACCGAGGCTGGCGGGGACGTTGTCCGAGTCGGGGGCACCGCCCCCTCGTCCGCCCAGCAGCAGCGTGAATGTGGCGACGCGGACTGTCGGGAGCCCCCCGAAAACCCCTGCGACTGTCACAGGGAGCCGCCCCCCGAAACCCCAGACATCAACCAGCTGCCGCCGTCCATCCTGCTCAAGGTGGGTCTGGGCGAGAGGCGCAGGGATGCTCGTTTTCCCCCACCCCCGGCCCCCGCCTCCGAGGCTTTCTCTCTCCTCCCCTTAAGCACGGAGGAGGGGGTTCCCTGACAGCCGAGGGACGTCCGAGCGAGAGACTGGGAAGCCGGTGGGTCCTCTGCCTATGGCCTGTTTTTTGAAGTATGAACACTTGGAGTCTACTGAATGTCTTAATAGCTTGACTCTATAACCCACCTTTCAGGGTTCAGCTATTATTAGAATCCCAACCCAGTGGTTTAGAAACTTCGCAGGTATTCTGTGGGGAAAAAAATTGTTTTTAATCAATTGAGGAATTTGTACTTAGTGGGTAAAGACTATTTGGAAGTGTTCAAACATTACTTTCGGGTTTCATGGCTGGTAGTTAATGTCAAACAGTTAACTTTTATTGAGCATTTACCATAATCAGGCACTGCGCCAGAGCTTTATATATACAATATCCATCCCATTTCTTTATCCAGTTAACGCTGCGGGATAAATATTGTTAATATCTTTATTTTATACAAGAAGAAACTGATTTCTCCGTGCCGTGGAGCAGGGTTTACAGTAGTGAGTCAGGAAGAAGTGGTCTTAGCTCCTATGGAGCTGACAGTCTAGTGGGGCTTGAAGTGGTTGAATGACTTGTGGAAGGTCACATACAGAAAGTAAAGGGCAGATCTAGGTCTTGAACGAGGTACCCGATTTAAAAATTCCTTTGTTTACTATGATGTAATGCCCTCCTGCATTTTAACCCTTACGTAAAAGCATACAGATTACCTTGGGAGACCAGTGAGTAGAGGTAGGTGTCCTGGATGAAATTTGTGTCATTTTCAACTATCATATTTTGCAGTTTTGTCAATGCTAGTGACAACCTTAGTTACGTAATAGAGTTTTTATTAAGTTATTAACTTTTTTCCTCTTTTTTGCCGTCTCTCACCCCACCCTTTCTGGAGCTTAATAAATATAAACCATTTTCATTGTGGATGATACTAGAGACTAGCCATAAATAACCTTGATAAGAATTTGGCTACTTTTACTGAAGTAACTTTAATTAATTACAATTGTTATTGTCACCAATATGGTTTCTTTGACTAGACTTTTTGCATATTTACAGTACTGTGTGTTTGGGTCTGTTTTATTGTGATATTAATGTTCTTGTGAATGATACAGGAAGAGAGTGGGAAAACTTACATTTCCTTGTGTCAAGATGTAATAATCTAATTCTTGTGGTGGTATACTTGTTGGAAGAGTAATTGCTTACTCTTTGTGTGCAGAGGAGCATTTTAGGACAAAGGGAACTTTCTTGAGTCCTTTAAATCACTGGATGATATGGGTAAATAAAATATGAACAAATTTTTGGTGTAGACGTTTGATTGCTGTCTTCTTATTTGACAAATAAGACTGTTTCGGAATGAACCAAAACAAAGCCAGGTACCTTCTTCTTAGACCATTATTTCATGAAGTATAAAAACATTTTAATACCAAGAAAAAGAAAAGGAGGGACATCTCGTAATAAAGAGAAACTCTAATAGAATAAAATAAATTTATTCTATTAATACTGCATTGTTCTTTTTCATATTTTTACCTGTGGATGGTTGAAAACTTTGTCTAAAGGACATTTGGGAATCACATGGGCTTGCCCTATTGTGTGTATTTGGACGTGTTATGTAGATTTCCATTTTTTGTATTAGAAAACTCTAATAAAGATTCTCTGTCTGAGTCTCGTGGTCCTAGTGATATTCAGCACGAAGTGAGTTGTACTATCTGGGATGAATTGAATTAGAGATTGCTGAGTGTCTGCCAACCCCAGTTTTTGGGGGCAGAGACTCAGGATTCATATCTTGTTCATTGCTCTGTATCCTCCTTTAAGTGCAGTGCCTAGCATATAGTAGCACTCAGTAAATACTTATGAATGAATGTAAGCTTAGGTATTTGGAGTATGGGCCGAAACTCGGGGTAATATGCCACACCACGAAGAGACATTTCTAAGGAATGTCCATATTCTGACTGGAGTTTGAGCCACAGTAGAGCCTTGTGGTGGTGAAAGGGTTTTGGCTCTGCCTCTGGTAAAGACTGGAGTTGTTTTGACTTGGAGAAAGGAAGACTTTAGGAGCTATGACAATTATTTTTTTCTAATATTAGAAGAGTTGTTGCAGAGAGGCACAAGTCCATAATCACTATTGGAAAACATTCTTCGAAATTATGCCCTGTTCTGGTAGTGGGTCCATAGCTATTATAATTGTATTGCTTTTGCTTCTTCTTTTGTACTAGAAAGTTACTATACTTGTAAAAAAAAAAAAATAAATAAAAATAAAAATAAAAATGAGGCAGGTCGAATTTGGGAGAGAAATGTGAGGATGTTTAAGTATTAAAAGGATGTTTTTGAGGAAAGCTACTGTGCTTGCCCAGTGGTGTTTTTTATTTTTTTTGGTATGGCAGAGGAGAAAAACTAAACTATATGTTACATCAGAGGCCAATTTGTGGCTCAATATCAACAAGGATGTTTTTCCTCTATATAGGTTAATAAATATGATGTGCTTTAAAGCAGCCAAAAATGCATTTTAATATAATAGTTTCTTTAAAAAGTTGTTTAGCTTTGGCAGAATATCCTATTTTATGCTTATTACCCACATCTTAAATTTCTTCACTTGGATAAACAAAACACATCTGGGTTTAGTCAGTGATCTTTGGTTTATAACAGCTGTCTCACTTTTATAAAAAAGGAAACTAAACTTCAAAGAAGATAATAGCATGTTTAAAACAAGATGCTACTTGGTTCCAATGACCATGCCTACGTGTTGATTGTTAACTGACAAATTAGCCCTTCAGGAACATACAGTCCTTTAACCTTAAAAAATGATCTAGGCCCCTAAGTTTTTATTTTCTCATGTGTAAAATAAGGAGGATGAGCATAAAAATATCCACAAGAAATTTACTTTGACCTGTGCATGAAGAGTTTGGTGATCCTTTCCACACACAAAGAAGTGTAGAACTGGCAAAATTGCCCAAAACTATTTGAACTCTGGAAATCAACTAAAAGCAAAGAAAAAAATTGAGAAACATTTATTCTTAGGAAAACTGTTAGAGCTTCAGGTAAGAATAGCCCAAGTCTACAGCATTCTTGCATGGGCCCCTACTGTGACCTCTTGCCCCGGCACCTTTGGCAAGAAGTGTAGTTTGGAAAACCAGCAGCTTTGCTGCCAGAGAGCTGATTCAATTTGGGGCAATGAATAAAAACCTTTGTCGATAAAATGTTGTGAACTTGGTAGGGAAAAACAAGGAAAAACTATATATTTGCTAGTTTAAGTTTGTAGTGCCAGTTGGGATGAGTGGAAGACTAGCCATAAATTAAAAGGCAGACCATGGAAATGGGAGAACCATAAAGGGATAATCTCTCCACATATCCTGGCATATTGTGAAACTGTGCACATGTGTAGGGGAGACCTGAGGTTGTCTAACTGAGAGCAAGGGCCAAGGCAGATGAGAATTCTCTAAGCCTTGAATGTGCCCTTTTTAACCCACACATAGATTGAAGAGCAGGCTCAAGCTGTTTGAGCATATCTTTGGCATATACATAGCTGAAAACTAAGCTATTTAGACACAGGATAACTTCCCTAGAAAGCCAGGATAAAACATATATATGTGAATTAAAATCTAAACAGAAGTATTCACACTGCCCAGAACACAGATTTCACAGTTTAAGGTCAGACATGTTAAAAGGCTCAGAAGTGTAAAATTCTATACCGACTGTTATCTAAAATGCCCAATTTCTAACAAAAAATTTTGAGAGACATGTAGAGACAGAAAAATGTGACCCATACTAAGGGAAAAAGAAAGCAGTTAATAGAAATTGACTCTGAGTAAGCCTAGGTATTAGACTTAGCATAGACTTCAAACTATTATAAACATGGTAAAAGAAAGGAAGCAGTATTTGAATAATTACAGAATGTAATGACATTTACCCAACAAATTGGAAATCTCAATAAAGAAATGGAAGCTATAAAAGTGTTTTATTCTTTTTGATGCTATTGTAAATGGAAGTGCTTTCTTAATTTCATCTTCAGATGAGTCATTGTTAGTATATAAAAATATTTGCTTATTAGTACTAAAATTAATTTTCGTATTTTCTGGGATTTTCTCTATATAAGATCATGACATCTGTAAATAGAGGCTATTTTAATTCCAACTCCACAATTTGGATGCCTTTTATTTATTTTTCTTCCTAATTGCCCTGGCCAGAGTCTCCAGTACAGTCTTGCATAGAAGTCATGATGCAGGCATCCTTGTTTTGTTTCTGATTTTGAGGAAAAACTTTTATTTTTTTACCATTAGGTATAATGATAACTAGGGGTTTTGGTAGGTGCTGTTTCCCAGGTTGAGGAAATTTATTTCTGAATGTTTTAAGAAAGGGTGTTGGATTTTGTTCAGTGCTTTTTCCTGCATCAGTTGGGATGATCATATGTTTTTGTTTTTTACCTTTATTAATACGGTTTGTCACATGGATTTTTTTCATATGTTGAACCATCCTTGTATTCTTGGGATAAATCCCACTTGGTCATGATGTATAATCCTTTTAGTATACTGTGGATTTAGTTTCCTTATATTTTATTGAAGATTTTAACATCTCTATTCTTAAGGGATGTTGGTCTGTAATTTTTTGAGATTTCTTTGCCTGGCTTTGGTATCAGGTATGCTGGCTTTATAGCATGAGTTAGGAACCATTATCCCATCCTCTCATTTTGGAAGAATTTAAGATAGATTGGTGTTCATTCTTATTTAAGCATATTACCGGCGAGGTCATCTGCTCCTTGTCTTTGTTGTAAGTTTTTTGTTTTTTATTACACATTCCATCTTTTTACGTGATATACATCTTTTCAGATTTTCTGTTTCATTTGAGTCAGTTTTTATAGCTTGTGTTCTAGGAATTTGTCATCTGTTTCACCAATTTAGTAGTATACAGTTATTTGGGTCCCGATTCAAGGAATTCT